AATGGCATGTATTGTCTTCTTATTATTATTGGTTGTTAACCAGTGGGTAATATCATTATACTACATTCCGTAGAAGAACTTTCAAATGCGTTATGTTAATTAATATATCTGCTACTTGGAAAATTACTAAATAACAGGTTAACGTTGAAAATGCTTTTTTAATTATATGTAAAAATGCATTACGTGATTTATTGACACGAACGAAAATGGTTATGGGATTGAATTTGTTTTTATTTCAAATCTTTCCTGAATTAATTACAGACTGAATGCCGAATAATGCCCTAATGTAGAAAGGTTTTCATTTAAATTGGTTTAATTTATTTCATTCTCTAGTACTGAGTACTTGATTGATTCTCTGTTACATTTTCTAAAGGTAAAAATACCAAATCTACTTAAAATAAACATTATATTATTTATTCAGTAAGGAGTTTTTTCTTTGGCTATTCTGGTAATGCTTTATTTCTTGATCATTTTTAAATAGGAAATATTCAAGAAAATAAATTAACATTAAAATCTTGATAACAAGTAAAAAATTACCAGTTAGGGATCAAGAATTTAAACTGCAAAATGGAGACAAATAAATTTATTATAAAATAATAATGGAAACAAATAAAATTGTGAAATGTTAAATTAAATTATTGATATAAACAATTTCACTAATCAGTTAAGTTACTGCGAATTCTATGAGTCCCGAAAATGATATTTTCAATCTTTATTTAAACATTTTTTTTCATATTATAATACCTAATATTTCCCGAAAACGCATGCCTTACAGCTTTTGATCAAGAATTCTTTTATAGAACTGTATAAACTATGAAAACTATGAGCATTCAAACTGCCGTTTTTCAAGACCGTGTCGATCGGATTTCGAAGATATACTGTGCATTTTTCTTGTTTTAGAGTTTTAAACCTATTTTTTGAGCTTAGAACATGCTGAAGCGTTATGGAATGTAATTATGTCTCACTACGCATGAAATATTGGTTGTTAAAATGTTTAAACAATTATTTTAGTAATGTCTTCTTGACCGAAATTAACACATTGACAAATATATTTCTGCATTGAAATTAAAGTGATATTACTGTATTGAATAGATCGGAATAAACTTTCCTAATTTACACAAATACTGGGGTAGACATCGGGTAGGTACGCCACGGAAACAATCTCATTTTTTTAATGAAAAATACGGCTGTTGATGTAATTAACTAAAGTTTCGGACTTTCAATCGTGCAGTCCATTTGAAAGCATGAATGACAAAATAGAGTAAGTATTGGTAAGTATGGTTAATTCAAGACAATAAATTATCAGGCATCAATAAATTGTAAAAAGTAGAAAACTTTATTCCTACTGTGTATAATATGCCGTATTTTTTTTTAATTCAATTATTGGCTTTTGAATAAATTGATGATTTTGATAAATTGATTAGTACCAGGATTTCAACAAACGATACAAAACCATGGATTCAGAAGAAAATTAAGTGACAAAAAAGTTTTTTATTTGTTGTTTTCGATATTGTTTGGAAAATATTTGCGAACCCCGGCATAATCTGACCAGCTGTATTTTTCCCATTGTTAATTGTTTTCAACTAAAAAAACAAAATAAAACTAATAAAAAATTTCTATGATATAAAAGCAATATGCTCTAGGATATCGAAGACTAAGTACTGCAGTTCATATTTTCAACTTGCTTATTTATAAAAAAATACTTTAATAATACGTTCAGAGCTGTTGTATCTTGGAATAGCTAAAAAACATGCATATAACTAAACTGCCGTTTCTTATAAATATTCATCAGTTTTTGCGTTATCGTGCTAATTATAGGTAGAAGTTAAGGTATTTTAGAATTAAAAGATTACTGCTCACTATGCTTTACCCAAGTATACAGATACTTTCAATATTTTACAAAATTAAACAAATACTAAATCGGTTTGAGCGCAAATAAACGCTGATTTTTATCACTTTTAGTAGAGCACAGAGGTATTTATTTTAATTTTTCTCCAGAATTTGCACTTTTATCGATACGTTAGTTGTGCTATTTACTGACTAAAATCACTTGTAGCTGTCACTTCAAATATCCATTTTCGACTTAATAATAATGCATATAATTTAAGGTTGACTTCAATGCAATGCAGTGATATAATTTCGATAATTCAGTCATAGAAATACTCAATCAAGGTTTCAAGTCGGATTTTCTAAGGTTAATTTGGTAATTAAAACAAACAGCGAACGTTGCATGTTTAAGGTAACTGAATTTAAACAATTCGCAGCTTGAACTATCAAAACTTACGGTCAATTAGTTAATAACAGATACCAAAGTTTTAATTGTTCAATTCTAAAATGAACGAGTTTTTTTTTTGAGATAGTCATTTGTTGAAATTTTACATAATTTATTTCCATTTCATCTCTAACTAGAAGGGCTTAGTTTTTTCCTTTTTCGTCTTTTCATTTCGTCACATTTTAGAAAAAAATGGATTTGATGAATATTGTCAAAAACAATATAGAAGCGTATTCTGCATTTAGAATATTAAATTTTAGAGATGCTTAAATTGATTTTATTATAACCTTTTAGATTGCTTCTTTGTCGACAATAATAAAATGTGGAAGTAAATCCTTCACAACACGTGTAAGAATGTTCCAAACATATTTTTAGCATTCAAGCTTTTATATAAACTCAAAAAAATGTATTAAAAAAATTTGTACTTACTCAGAATGTATTTGGAAGCTTTTCTTCTGGAAAACCATGGTGAGCAGTTCGAAGAAAAAGTCCAATCGAAATTATAACAACGCACAGAAATGAATAAAAAGTTTCACAATCTGCAGTAAAAATCGTCGTCCATGCACCGATAAACTGTTGATAATCCTGTGGTCGTTTCAATAAATATATTTTTTTACTACCACTTGCAAACAACCGCGTTTCTTCCAACGACTGAATTGCCATTTTAAATTGAGTACTATTTTGTTACCTGCTGACACGTGACCTTCAGATAGGTGAGCTTTTTGACGGTTCCCCAGCTTTTGTTTATTTACTTTTGTGAACCACCGGAAGACGATTGGTAGGAGGTACCCAATGTGGTTGTTGTGCCCGTGAAAGTTTATCAATCTGGGGCACTACGTGGTATTCAATTAGCTCGGGGTCGTTTCTTTCTGAGCTTGTAACGTTGGGAAACACAGTTCAAACACTTTTTTTTGTTTGCTTTTCTTGGATGTTGCTTAGGGGGTTACTAATTATGAAACAGCAATTATCAATCGGTAAATGTTAACGTAAAAGTTCATAGAACAAGTAAGCCGGTTTATTTAAAATTGGCGGATTAATACTTACCGGACAAAAATTGTAATTGTTATGCAAAAATTGCGATTGATGCTAATAACGCCGATTAGTTAGAGGGAATTGTGAACTTTTTTATTATAAAATGGTAGAAAATTGCGGTGAATATTAATACGGAACATAATTATTTCATGGGGTGATTTATAAACTACCTACTTGCCAAATTATACACACGAAAAAGAGCTTTGAAATTCGCGTAAGAAATTCCTTTGCTTCTTGTTTTTTTTTCCTATTTGGTTTAAGAGTAAAATGTAAACCCATATTTTTACTGTTTAGTTTTTAACTGATTCTTCCAGCAATCTTGCTGCTAATTTTTTGGCATAATATCGACATAACATCGACGATCGTCGGCTTGAATAATGTCTGCTTGACTTTGCTTAAAACTGTTCCCGGTTTTTAATATCATAAAAAATATTGAAAATTACCTCTCAATTTTTTTACAACGTTCAGCATACCTTTGATTAATTAAAACAGTTCACTCTAAATATGTCTGTACAGTGGCAATATATTTTGCCTGTTAACGCAAATATTTCTTAAGCCGACAGTGATTGTGTATTGACTTGCGACCTTTTTTCGAATGAATTATACAAAAATATTTTTTTTCCATTATACACAAACGGGTTTAAATTAACTTCTCATTTGAAATTCTAATTCATCTTTTAATAAAAATAATCTGAAAATTTTGCTAATCTAACACATTAACAATTGACTTTCTGGCTTCAGAATCCTTTCTGATCTAAAATCATGTGTTTCAGTTCGTTTGTTCAATTGTTTTCAAAACTTTTGCAACATTTTAAAAATTACACGCTAATTAATGCCAACTGTTATTCAATATTTTAAAAATAATTATATCGGAAAGTATTCAAAAATTACATTTTTGCTTAAATTTATAAAAAAAATCATTTAGTTTAAATATCTATAATTCAAGTAATTTTTAAGCAAACGGAATAAAAGTGTCTGATTTCAATATTTCACTTTATCGAAAAGTATGTRTGTTTCTTCATTCACTTGCTCTTTRCTGATAGTTAGGTATTTATATTAACAAACATTATAGGATTTTAATAAATTAATACAATACAGTAATTGCAAGCGCTAATATGCTATATTTTAGTAATATYATYAGTAATACAATATGATGATATTATATTAATATTTTATCAAAATCTGGAGAAAAGAAGAATRGAGGAATTGAAAATTTCCTATCTTTTCTACAAACCAAACTATGCTGCAATGAGCAGACATTTCAAATTAASCATTAATTCAAACACGGTGAAAACACATGAAATATGAAGGAAAAATGCCAGTATAATTCAAACCGAAACCCTTGACTCATTAAGAGCTGCGATCTGAAATGCTCTATGTTTCGGCAGAGGCTTTACTAACTTATTCTTCATCATTTACTTTTGATATTATTATCACTCAATTAAAACACCAAATCACTCAATTAAATGTCTGAACCTCTATGTGTATAGTATTAGTGATTTACGCGAACCAAACTATTTAGAAAATATACAAAGTATATTTTAATGTATAAATCAAAAAATATATTATAAATGTATGTATAGAGAGGAACAAGTTTACACATTTGATTGATTATTTGTACAACAACAAAAACGGACCTTTTTTCATTACGAAGAGATTATCGACTATTGCGATCTTTCCGCCACATAAAATGTGAAATAAGGCGTAGCATACTGGAGGTACTGAAGAATATTTCAATTACATCACAAATTAAGGCTTATTTTAAGCATTTTTGTTATATTAAAATATTACTTTATAGTTATTACAGTTTGAGCAATCTTATTATTAATATCATTGTATTTTCTAATGAAAATTATTGCGTTTTATTAGTTTTAATTGAAAACATTTTTTTATGATAGTGAATTCGTATTGTGAAAGAAATATTTACCATTTATTAATGGAAAATAAAGTTTTATGTCTTGTGTCAAGTATTAGTTCATTAAATTAAGCTGAATTATTTAAATTTTCCGAAACTAGAAGAGTTATAAGTATGAAATTTTTATTGTTAAATAAATATTTTTAAAATAACTATAGAAATTCGAATTTTATTTTCAGCAAAAGCTACGAAAAACGTGTAGAAAACGGAAATTGTCTCCTAATGGCATTCAAAGGCGCATAATTATTGAACGAAGAATAAAAAATCAATGTCGAGTAGAATAAAACGAAAATCTGAAACAATAACCTGCTAATTCTGTATTGTTTAATGGATTGCTTGAATAGAATTTTTGCAAAAAGGCAGCGGAAACTCAGAAAGTATTTCATTCATATTGAAGCATACGTCTTTCAATAAGCTGCGACTAAAAAATATCGACATTATGAGTCCGATAATATTCAGTAACAATACACAATGAATAACGGTACTTTCCTTCACATGACATGATTTGGAACTTGCTTACAACTTATCATGCTAACATTTTAAAGAGGAATGCTATTTAACTAAAATTAATTAAATTGGCGAAACGAAATGATTTCAAATTAGTAACCGTTGATTGAACCCTGTATTTTCCAACGAATATCGAAATTAAGCAGAATTGTGGTTTAAGTCGGATTTTACATATTTACCATTGTATAGCATTTTTATGAGTGCGATTTTTGCATTGACGACAATAGTGGCATGCGTTATCCATTTTAGGAACAGATTTCTTAATGATTGATGATTGCGGACGCTTCAACAGAACTCGACAAATCAGATTAACGATAGGCAAATAAAAAAAAGAAGGAAATACGCAAATTTGGTTATCGGGGAAACCAGAAATTGGAGCAGCTTGTGTCTGAATTAAGCCGTTCGTGTGATTCCAAGAAATAAAAGTTTAAATTTTGAAATTTTTAATTAGAGTTTCCATTAATTTTGATATTTATATGGATATCAACACTTAAAATATAAATAATAGGAAATAAAATAAATCCCATCTCGTCTAATCCAAGTAAATTAATTATCCTAATAAGTTAAATTTAGTAGGCAAATCGGCTTAAATAAATGCTAGAAAGCTGCAAATATTTTCTTTAACTTTTCCAGAAATAAATAATTAAATATGACAAAAATGTATGGCTTAAAATTGGACTAAATGAATCGTAGTTTTACGTTTTTTAATTTTTTCCTTAATAAATTAAAATATTTGAACGATAAATAAAAATATAAACTTTTTACATAGTTTGGAACACGTATTAAAATACTCAATAGCTTTACCAAACTGATCATTTGAAAGTAAAATGTTTCTCTTCATGTAGTGGGTATGAGTATATTTTATTTCATTTCACTTTTCAGAAACCTAAATATGACGAAAATGTGAGATTCATAGTTGGACTGAATGAAGCGTAATTTCAGGATTTTACAGTTTGAATTTATTTTTGCAATATAATTTTTTCATACTGACATACATACATTTTTTCATGAGTTTCATGAATTTCCTTTACCAATTTCCAAAATTGCTTGATGTGTTCTTAAATCATAAAAAATTCTGTAGCTAATATTTTGTGATCATATTAAATTTTTTATAATATAAACACAATTGAGCAAATTCAAGCAAACAATTTAAGACCAAAGACTACCCCAACCGTTCCTATCAGCATGTGCTATAAAAACGCTTTTGTGACTGATAAAATTTAATTTAATTAAGTCTTATATGCGTCTATTTACTAATGAAAGATTTACAGCTCTATGAACAACTTTGTCAGTTCTGTAATAAACGTAAAAGTAACGCTCTTACAGTACTAGTGCTGCAATAAATTAAAAATATGATTTTTTGGTCGGTTTAACATGTTATCTTGTTTTGTTTCTAGAACACAATTTTTGTGAGACTTTACAATACTTGTATTGTAAATCAAATTTTGCAGAAATATCAACGAAACATGCAAGCCAAGTACCCAGCGATGTGACTTTGTAATTGAATAATTATGATAAAGACGTTGAATAAAAACACTAAAAAAATAATGAGAGATACGAGAAAACAGTTAAAAAACAACAACAAACTCAATTATTGTATACCAAGTAATTCTCGAGTAGTTAGTTTGCTTTAACATTTTTGTGCAAATTTCGTGGAGTAGATTACAAATGACTCAGAATATTCGAAGCATTGTACCATGTACTGAACTGAATTTGAACGCGCTGATAGTTAAAATCCTGGAAAAGAACTAAATAAAAATGTAACTGGAAAAATTAATTATTTCAAACAAATTCGCCAGAAGTATTTGTATCATTTTACTGTATCAATGTTTGTAAAAATTTCCAGCTTTTCGCAAATTTTTACCGGTTGGCAAAATCTGTTTTTCTAGTCTGCCTAGAGCTCTACTCTTTCTATAGTCTAGAGCCTATAGATAGATAAATGGCTCACCCTGTCTAGCGTTTAGTTTTTAATGCCTTTACTTAAACTTAATAAAATATATTAATTCAATCCTTCACGTAGAACAAGAAAACATTGTTAAAATGATAAATTTATAATTGTAATAATGGCGATGTTTCAATCTTCAAGTAACTACATAAAAGTATTATTTTGCTTCTTATTTGGAATTTTAGACACAAAAATGTTCAAGTAATTGTAAGAAACATCAGCATTCGTTTAGATTTTAGTAGGACAACTGTTTTGAATAGTTGACTC